CCCCAAAACCCCAAAACCCCAAGATGAAGAATAATTCGAAATTCTACTAAATCATATTATTCATATATTAAACATTATTAGTTAAGAAAGATATTTAACCATGATGTCTTAAAATGATGATGAAATCTATATTTGCTTTTGCTGCTTCAAATTTTATAATTTATAAGAGAGAAAACCATTGATGTTTCTATGTGGAGATATGATCTGCCTATAATGTTACAACATTTAGAAAGATTAAGTTCAAAATCAGCAAATTTAATGTCCATTTGATAGTACACATCTTTGTGCTATAGACGAGCATGTAGTTGAACCAAAGTTTTTGATAAGAAATCTCTAAAAACGATATTTTCACCTGATTAATTGTGATGATCATGAAGGTGAGAAAGCAATCATATATTGCAAAGAACAAAATAAAATGCTATGCAGTAGATGTATTCAAATTCAACCTCATCCTCATTTTTCTTAAGATTAGAAAAAGCATTTTACTTTTGAACGAAAATTTTTAGATGAATCTTTCGGTTAGATGATTCCAATTCTTAAAGATGAAATGAATTAGATTTAGATCCTCATGGATAATATGCATTAATTCTTAAACAAGGAAAGAAACTTTAATGTAAGTGAAATTCAGTAAATGATCGACAAGAATTGCCATATTTTACAGAAATCTTCTCTCGATGATAAGATAAAGAGTATTTTCAAGGATCAGTCCGATGCTTTTAGTTTCATTTCTAATTTCTCGTAATCTTTTAACTTTTATTTATATTATAGAGATTCCTTCAAACAAGCATTCCAAATCAACCAAGAGTAACTTCATGTACCTCATAAATAGGAATTGGAAGAGGAAAAATAATAAGTCATAGATCAAAATTAAGAGGAGATTAAAGTTTAAGAACATATTGGATAAAATCCATTATCTTTGCTCAGTTAATAAATAAACAAAATAGAGTCAAGAGATTAATTAGAAATAGATACATTACAAAAGATAGGAGAATAAGATTAATAAAAATACATATAATTTAGGGGATTAGTTGATAATGTTTTATCAGGAAATGCCAAAGAAAATGTATTGTATGATAAACTCTTTAAAGTAGGTACTAAAAATAAGCTTGTGTATAAAGGTACAAGAGATGGATTTAGACCAGCTTTCTTTCACATAGCTTGTGATAATAAAGGTCCAACAATAACATTAATCCTCAGTGATAAAGGGGAAGTTTTTGGAGGCTATAGTTCGCTTTCATGGGAATCATCGAATCAGTGGGTAAAGGATCCTCATGCTTTTATATTTAGTTTGACTAAGAACACTCTACATGAGTAATATCAACATTTTGAACAAGGAGTTTTACATCATTCACTTTGCTTCATGAGATTTGGATATGGAAATGATATTTTTATCAAAGATAATTGCAACATTAATTGCAATAGTTATTGCTTATTAGGTGGCACATTTACTCCTCCATAAGGTTCTAACTATGGAGATCAATTAGCTAGGGACTACTTAGCAGGATGTGAAAATTTTAGAGTTATTGAAATTGAAGTTTACACGATAGCTCCTACTAATAGTTCATGAGCTTCAACATAAAATCATGCTTTTATAAAATTCATATAAATTTTCTATTTTTTCTTCATTTTCAGTATTGATGATGTATTTCAAACAATGGGGTTTTGGGGTTTTGGGGTTTTGGGG